CCGGGTGGGAAATCGTTAGTGGGGAAACCGGTGTTAAAGCCTTGTGTGTTGGTTTTCTTTTCCTTTCAGTGACTGGAATGAGTCCTTTGTCCCCGTATTTAAACTTGGACCCCAAATACCTAGTACAGGTGAGAAGGCGGCTTGGTTTTGTTGTGTTGACCTCGATTTTGCCGTTTGTGTGGTTCTATGGGAAGGCCTGATGAGCCATTGAAAGGAGCGGTGTTTTTTCACAATATTATTCCTAAAAAAAGCTTGCAGTGCTCTGGCACCTAGGAGAAGAAAACCAGTTACAATATAGAGAATAAGTAAGAGTGTTGCATCAATATAAGCCTGCTGCTTATACTGACGTAGGGAGTCAGTAGGTCTTCCTCCCTACATTGAGGCACACAGTCCCAGTGCACCTTTGCTCAGATTCTGGCGGTTGTCACACCCTCCACTGAGCCCCTTCAGTTGGTAAGAGCAGCCAGAAACTCTGCTCTTTTGGAGGATTAGCTTTCTATATTGTGATGAGTTTGATCAGTTTACAGAAATGTTCAGCCCCAGACCCGATACAGGCTTTGTCATCATATGTGCTGTCAGCACAGCAGCAGCAAATTTCATTTCACTTTCTGTATGGCTATTCCAGGAGACCATCATGAATTAGAGCTTTCCATTTTATTCTACAGAATAAGGCCACTGTAATACTTACACAGCTTAATATTAATTTACGTAGCATGATGGCCTGTAGGCCACCATGAGGAACCCAGAATACTTTTAAATCCTGTGCTTTTTTCCCTTTCTCAGAGATATTAACTGTAGCTGAAAAGGTTGAAGTTATTCCAACAACAATGCATGTCTTAATGATTTTTAGTTCATATATTCTGTGTATTTTTATATACCTATTGCTTATATTATCTGAGAATATTAAACTTTGCAGAAGTAGCACAGTCATATAGTATTTGCTAATCTGTGTGCCTTTTGTTTCATGGCACACTGGGTTACTGCCTCTTTTGTAGGCAGAAAGCTCTGAATGCAGTTCTGGGGGCTGGTTTTTTATATTTATCTTTCACTAGAAGCTGTTGTCAAGATTACAACATAACATTTTGATAATGGTAAAAAACAGGGGATTCACGTCTGTTTGAAGTGGATTCACTAGCATGATTGTTTTACCTGCTACTGAGTGGCTGAAAAAATGCTAAGTGATTAGTTAGACTTCTTCTGAAAATACCCCTCTAAAGTTGTCTTGTTTAGTTAGTACAGTGTATATGGAAACATGTTACTGTTGATAGTGCGTTAACAGAGTTTTTGGAATATAGTATGTGTATACTAATTTTTAAAAGCTTGCTTTAAAAGAAAAGGAGTTATTAGCATTAGTGTCATGAGTAGCTTATAAAATAGTTCTAAAAAATACCTATTGGCCTAACACTGGAGGCTACACTTCGTGTTGTAATGCTTCTCTGCTCTTCATGTTTATCACTAGCAAGTACATTGAAATAAAAAGAAAGTATTTATTTTCTTTACTTGAACAAGTTTATCAGACAAGCTGTGGGGTCTCCATCCTTGGTGATGCACAACCATTCTGTGACTGTAAAAATTCTAGGGAAAAGACGTAGCTGATGTTTCAGAATGCAAGAACTTTACTTATTAGAGAGTTTAAAATCGGTTTGTCTGTGAAGATATGCTTGGAGGCATGAGGGTCTCCTGTGTTTAAAGACCATCCATTCACTTTCAGGGTGCAGAGGGAAAGTCAGCCTTAGTGTTGAGAATCTTACATTTTGATCCTGTCCTTCCCATAATAACAAATGCTGCAGTGGTACTCAGGCCTTGAAAACCCACTTGCTTTTTTAATCCATCAGTGCAGGCACAAAATGGTGTGTTTTCCACAATGCTTTTGTTACCTTCAGCAGGCATCAGTTGTAAAATAGCATGCCAGCCTGTGTCACAAGCCTAGGGGACGGGCTTCCTTGGCTGTTTCTCCAGAAACCCAGACGTTACGTACGGATGACGGTTGCATCACCTTGACTTTTTGGACAGTGGTGAAAACTATCAGAAATTGCTAACGAGTGTGTGCACTCAATTTCTCTAAATACCTAGTTGCAGGTGCAGTTTATCTATTTTTTCTGTATTACCATCCAGTGTTTAGTGCCAAGTATGGACTAAGAAAACCCCTTAGAATGCAATCACTGGAGCCTGCTGTTGTGGTGGTCGTATATCAGTTAAACAGGAGGTGGAAAGCACAGAAGTATAGAAGATCTTAGTTACTGCTGTAGCACCTTACAACACCATCTTGTCCACATTTCAGATTGAAAAAGTGCTTTGGCCCACCTTATCTCTGCACATATGCTAGTTATCAGCCCATTTCTCTAGATTTTCAGACCAATCTGATTTACAAGAGCACAAGCCTGTCCCTGTAAGAGAAAGACAAGTAAATTACCAACCTCGCGCATTTCATACCTGATCATCACTAGTTTTGCATATATTTCTTGCGCTTTTTTTTATGTCTTCAAAATAGGTCACTTATTTTAGTGCAAGGAAATACTTCTTTCGGTACACAGGCAGTTCTTTAGTGTCAGAGTAGTGGGAAACTTCAGTGTGTTACTGTATCAGTATAGGTTGCTCAGTGAGGAAGTAGTGCTGCATAAACAGACAACAGGAAGGTGTTTAGAGGACAGTGAACCTTGTATTGTCTGCTCCCAGGTGTACTAAGTGATTTAACAAATAGTCATTAAAAAAAAACCCAAACCAACCAATCCCCAACACAAGTTTCTTGGCTGCCTGATCTAAGTTATAAAAGGGCAGCTAGGGGGAAAAAAAAAACACAAAAAACCCCTCTCAGTCAGTTTATCTTTTTAAAGTAATTTTTCTTTCTTTTTGGAGTATACACTTAGTATCTCCATCTCAGTGCTAGTGTAGACAGGACTTTTTCAGAAGCACTGATCATATCTGTTTTTTCTTTAGTTCATTGTATGGCCTACTTTTTGAAGCAGGTACACTTGGAAAATACAAAAGTGTTTGTTTTCATTTCCCCCAGGATGCAGATGAGTTTATCTTGCCAACAGGAGCCAACAAAACTCGAGGCAGATTTGAGCTGGCCTTTTTTACCATTGGAGGATGTTGTATGACAGGTGGGTGGTTGCATTTTTCACGTTTCTCAGCTGTGCAGGTAATGCCGCTGTACTGCAGGAACTGACAAGGTTGTAAAGGTCTCGTTCTACGATTTAGTCTTACCACTGAAGTCTATTCTCAGTGTTTGCTTCTTCTAGTATTGTTCAACTTGTTCCTCTTTCTTAAAAACTAATAACTGATATTCTTCTAACTAGGGGCAGCATTTGGTGCACTGAATGGTTTGCGACTTGGCTTGAAGGAGACGCAGAATATGGCATGGTCAAAACCTAGAAATGTACAGTAAGTGTTTAATAAAAAAAAAAAAACAAAAAGAAGAAAAAAAAGAGAAGGGTACACCTTAGTGACAGAATTGTTTCTTCCAGCTTGTACAACGTTAGATCTGAACATACTGCAAAAATAAATGTATTTTTGTGTCTTTAGTGGAGACAAATGAGAGTCAGTGTTTGTCTTCATCACCTTAAGAAATGTTTTTAATTATAACAATGTTCAGTTTAAGCTTTTTGCTTTTCATTTAGTGACAATTGGGACATCACCTGACTTAAATATTTGAGAATAAATTACTACCTTGATATTTACTAGAAGTCTACTTCAAAGTCAAAACGGTGGTTTTATATATTGAAATATTCCCAGGAGCAGCACAGTTTGCTTCAAGCTATTTTTTGCTTCAAGCTATTTTATTGCACTTACCTGAGAGCGAGTTCTGTCTTCTTTGCCAAACTTCTCAAAACCAGGAAGAGATTAAAATCCAGAAGCAGGGCCTGTGTGGATTTGCATTAGGGATGACACTGGTGCGTGCTGCTGAGCAAGTGTTGCATGGTGGAAGTTGATCTGGATTACAGTGACCACAAACATCCATGGCATTCCCATGTGTTCCCCTTACCTGATGCCTTGAAAGAAAGCAAAGATAGGAGATGATGTTTTTCCGGCAGTGTGCTTCTCTTTCTAGAATTATTGGTAGTTTAGGCATAACTATAAGGAAGCTTAAGTGCCTGTGAAGAAGACCTAGAAAACTGAGGATGTGGAAAAACTGGGGGAAACTGCTTTCACTCCTACAATACTTTGGAAAAAGACATTTTTAGAGAAGGAATTTATTATTTCCTCACAGCTTGAACTGGTTCTGCTCCTTTTTAAATTCTATTTCCGTCTACTTCATCCTCTTTCTTTACCATCTCTAGAGATAGAACCAAAATATTCCCCACTCTAATTACAACTCTTCCAAAACGCTCTAGACCAACAGAAATGTATTTTATGTATTTGGAATGAGCAGAGTCAGACAAAAATGTTACTAAGCGCAGCCTTTGCTGTGTGGAGCCCAGCAGGTGGCAGTCAGTACGCACCCTGCTCTTAGTCCTTGCCTGTCAAGGGAAAGGGCCTCTTTGAAGGTCATCACCTTGAAACAGTGTTTTAAAGTCAGGGGGACTTTGCCTAGCTACAGTTCCTTCAAAATTATCCTTAATCTGCAATGGTTTGGGGTTTTTTTATCATAATTTGAATGGTGCCCTTCATCTCCTGTCATCAAATAGCTCGCAGTATGTCATGGGTGTAGAGATTGTGAATTTTCTCATCAATTCAGAATTGATATAGTGTTAACAAAATGGGGTGGGGGTTGTAATTAGGGGGAGATTGTCGATACCCTAGCCTCTTGGGGGTTTTTCCCCTCATTTCCAAATGAAGTTTTCCATTATAGTTTAGCTCATTACCTAACCCTGTTCAGTAGTGACCCATGTCTACTAATGAAAATTATAAAAAAAGATAAAATAATGGAAGATGAACTCAAATCAGAAGGAACATAATGTGCGACATTTCCATCGCTTTAAGCTATAAACTGAGTTCCAGTGGTAGTCAGCTGTCCAGAGCCATCCAGTGCCTGCGATAGTGTTACACTGCTGGGAGATAAAAATCAGGCATTTCTCCTGGCTGCTGCTGTCACCGTTCTGGAGACAGCTGATGCCAGAAAGAAGTGGCACTGGGCTTCCCTGAGAGTGCGCTGAAGATTTGCTTTCCCTCTTTCGCGCTAGTCTGGAAGCATACATGCAGCAGTACTCGGGGTGCTTCGCCTTTTGTTGGGTGCCAGGTTTGACAAACGCAAGTGCAAAAGCTGCCTCGCTGTGTGAAAAAGGAGGCTACGTATTGCCAAGATTTTTCCTTATTTTTTTTTGTCTTAAAGGGCTTTTGGTTCATTATTCCAGTTTTATTAATCAAATGCATATTGTAAATGCAGTACACCTACTATCATAAACACTGCCTCGATGTAAATACAAGGATCTGAAGGTTTTAATACCTTTTTAATTCCTTTTTAGAATTCTAAATATGGTGACAAGGCAAGGAGCATTATGGGCTAACACTCTGGGATCTCTGGGTAAGTAAACTAGTTATTTACAGAGAAAACAATTTAAAGGTGTAACTGTTTGATGGAAAAGTGTATTCTAAATTTTCATTGCAAAACCTGTCAGGAAAAACTGCAGGCTTTTTTCTTCAGGGCACGAGGGCTTTCAGTTGACATCAAAAAGGCAATTAAAGGCTAAAGTAAGGTTTGAAGCGTAAGTAGCCAAAAACTTGTAATTAAACCCCCCAAAATTTTAGTATATGACAAAATTTAGTATATTACACGTACTTTAGCTCTGGAATGACAGGAATAACTGAAAATTACAGATAATGCTTACTTGTTAATAAATTCTAGTTAATTCACAAGGCAAAGAATAAAATTGGATACTTCTGAAATGAGTTTAATAACCTAGGAAGAGACTCAGTGGTCATGTGAGCAACTGCCTGACACCTGTTTCCAGTTAAAGAGTCAACAAAATATTTATCTGTAGAAGAAATGGGATAGTGACTATAAAGATTTATCCTTTTATGATGATTGCTTAGCGAGAAAACACATGATACCACCCACTTTATGTCTACACATCACTTCTAACTAATAAGGATTAGTGAAATGAAATTCATCAAAAGCCTGCTGTGCAGGAAAAACTGTGAACTGAGGTTTGGGAGGGGAAGGGAAATAAAATCACATCAGTTGATAACTTCAGATGATTTCATAAAAGCAAGTGGAATAGCCAGTGTCCTAGAGAGTAGCCAGTGTCCTAGAGAATACAAGCTCTCTGTTTTCTCCCCTCCCTAATCTTAAGAGACTAAAGGATGCTGAGTTATTTTGAAAGGAGAGGTCCCAAACTGATGAAATTTAGAAGATCAGTGATGGAACTCGTTGCCCCATGAAGTGGTAACAGGAAAGAAATTAGCAATATTTAAATCAAAGATTACATCATGTTATAACTCAGCCTACATATATTTTGATTTTGAGAAATACATTGAAACATAGGCTAAGTAACATTTGTTATATTTTATTTCAGTTTTACTTCTAAAGAGTAGATTAGCCGACCATTTGACTCCAGCATCACCTTTTGAGGCATAGTATAGAGACCATAGTAAGGGATTCTGAAGTACAGTGAGAACGACACTTTCCATAAGAGATGTATATTGCCTACTGAGCTTTCTGGTGGGATTTTTTTTTGAAGGGGTTGGTTAGGTTTGGGTTTTTTCCTGACTTTCTGATCAAAACGTGTCTGAAAACAGAGGTGCAGGCACATGGCAGTTCAAGGTTCCAGGTTAAGTGACACATTAACAGGTTTTTTCAGCTGTGTTTGAAGAAAGATTACTCAAGAAAATGTTTGTGCATTCCAGTAACAAATTGTTATTTTCCTTATAAAATAGGGCCTCCCAAGTCATGGAGCTAAGTAGAACTTGATGTTTGGGGTGTGGTGTAACTCTGCCTTGTCGTAGCTACCAGAGAAGTTTCTTTCAAGGATCCAAACTATTTTTGCATCTTACTTCACTTGTGCAGCGTTTCTGTACCTCAAAGATTCGCTTTGTTACTACTGACAATTTTAATCATTCTCTTCCTGAACAGAGTTAGCAACATCTATGTTAAATTATTTTTTTAAATGTTGTTGAATTCAGCTTTTCCTTCCCCTCATTGTTAGTACTTCATGCTGCCAAGACAAGGTAAAATGCCACTGCCTGTGCTGAATGGAGGGAGATGCTGCTGTTGAACTCATTGACGATAATATGGTTGCTTGTGAAGGATTTACTTGCTTTTTAGCAGAAGTAAAACTTGAAATTCTTGGAGGATAAGGGATGAATTGGAGTGAGATGGTATCTTTATCACTTTAAAATGATTACTACTGTTCTTTGTCAGCTCCAAATATGATTGTATCATGAGGGGTGAGGCTGGGGGTGTCTTCTCCCCTCAGCAAAATGCATAGTTTATATGTGCATCCATACTAAAAGGGCATGTGTTTCTTTTTCTGATCCTTTCCATTCTACTCCAGCCCTTGGTAACATGATCCAAGTGCTGCTCTTGGCATTTCATTTTGGTCACACATGGGCGACCATTTTCTCTGCTACCTAGAAAGTGCTGTTGGGTTTAGTTTCACGCTAAGAAGACAGTATAAAGCCAGCCAGTACAAACCGAAACCCTCAAAAAGGTTTTTTTTTAAACAAATATGGATTAGCAAAACAGGCTTAAATTTAGGCGTATTTATCATGTCTGGAGGCAACACTAGGTGTCATGAATGTGACTATAACCAAACTATAGCTAAAAAAGGAAAAAATAATCACAGAATCATGGAATTTTAGGGGTTGGAAGGGACCTCAAAAGATCATCTAGTCCAGCGCCCCTGCCAGAGCAGGATCACCTACACCAGATCGCACAGGAACGTGTCCAGGCAGGTTTTGAAAGTCTCCAAAGAAGGAGACTCCACACCCTCCCTGGGCAGCCTGTGCCAGGGCTCTGTCACCCTCACAGTGAAAAAGTTTTTCCTAATATTTTTATGGAACCTCCTGTGCTCCAGCTTGTACCCATTGCCCCTGTCCTGTCATTGGACACTGCTGAAAAGAGCCTGGCTCTGTCCTCCTGACACTCCCCCTTAGCATATGTAAAATAGAAATAGGTTTGCAAAAAAACCACCAAAGATGGGATTTTGCACAGAATTCCACCTCCCTTTAAATAGACGAAATCTGTGCTTCAGAATAGAAATTAAATAGTTACACAGATACTAAGCCTTGCTGTCTCAGAATGGGAGCTTTAACTTGAATTTTTTAATGTTTTTCTTGCCCAGCTCTACTTTACAGTGCATTTGGAGTCGTCATTGAAAAAACACGAGGTGCAGAGGATGACCTGAACACCATAGCTGCTGGAACCTTGACAGGAATGCTATACAAAAGCACTGGTATGTTAACAAAATGTTTCTAGTTTTCCTTCTCTTGTGCTTTATCCAGGTTTCTGGGTTTCTCGTTAGTTCTTGAAATACTGTCCTGCTCTGAAAATTGGCAGCCTAGAAATAGTATGCTAGGAACCAAGATCTGTTGGTTCAAATCATCCCCTAATCCACACATTGTTTTTCACACAGCTAAGACTACTTAAGAAAAGTTTGTGCTTTAAAAAAAAACCTCAAAAATAAAATTGAGCTGAATTAAATTGGTTTCTTTTCAACTTGCAGAGGACTAACAGTAATCATGAGAGCCAAATTATGTGTTATACATATATACTGAATAAACACTCAAATGTTTACTGAGCTTTATAATGAGATTGTATAAAAGACAAACCCAGCTCATGTCATTCTTAGCCACATTTTTCAGGTGTAGCAGGAATAAAACCTATGGTTTCTCAAGTCTGTGAATGGATGCAGGCAAATGGGAACTACTCCTCAAAGTGAAAGAGGGCAGGGGAGGAATACACAGAACACAGTGTGACTGCGTCAGCGAGAACATTATTGTAAGTGGTTCATGTGATAGTACCTGGAGGTGCAAAAAGGAAAAAATAACTACCCAGAGAGAAACTGATGTATTTGCAACATTATTACGTAGCTGTTTGTCAAAACTGTTGTAGTAGGACTCTAGTCTTTGCATAGTGGTCAAAACTAACAAAGTTATTTGAGAACAGCATGGATTTAAGATTAGTTTGCTGATGCATACTGAATTGTTTGCAGAAGAGAGGGTCTGAGCTTCATCAGCAAAACACCTGATAGCTCATTTTCCAATCTTAACAACTGGAAGGATCATCTTTTTTAGAAGACTAGTGTGTACCACTGGTTGATGTTAACCACAGGAAAAAAAATCTTAAGTACCTCAGTGAAGGTCTGAGTATGAGATTCACCTGTATTTTACTGCAGAGATTATTCTAGAATTAACCTATGTACTTTTGTCTATCTAACTGAGCCTTGGTGTCTCAGAAGCATTCCTGAAGGCCAGCTTTATATATGGGGCAAAAAAGTTTGAGAAGTCTTAGTTTCCTGCTGGCCTAAACTGACCAAAACTAAAAATACTTGTCTTGAGCAGCCTTCATAAGCGCTGGCTTGTGCACCTAACCTTGCAAGAGGGCAGAGCTCTCTTATATCAGCTACTTAATTGGGATTTCATGAGTGACACACCAGATTATCAGCGACAGCCGGATAGAATAGCAGTAAGGAAGTTTTAACATTTTTTGTAGGAAGTTATTAAGAAGAACTGCCATCTAACACACCAACAGAAGGTTTCTCCTTACATTTCAGATGTACGGAGCTGGCATCACGTGCCATCTGTTGTATTTGGTGCAGTGCAACCATGGGTAACTGCTCCAGTCACATGCACAGGCCTCTGACTGTACAAAATTTTTTGTTACCGGAGCACAGTGGGACTTTTATTTTGTAATGTAAGACCTACGGAGCTAATTGTAGCACTGATAAAGGTAAATGCAGCCAATTAATCTGCATTCAGCATAGTATGGTATTTCAAGTGTGCACCATGCATATGAACTATAGTGCACAGAAGCTCAAAAGAAATACTTTTTTCACCAGATGCAGGAAATTTGGCGCAATAAAGGTCAAGGGTTAGCTCTGGAAGTGAAAAAGCTGATATTCACATCTGTTTAAAGAATTTTATTCCAATCTTTTCCTTCTTTTCTTTCATGTTCTGTCCCTCTTGCTGCTTCTCCCACGCTTTCTCTCTTGTCGCCTCATGCCAGAGTGCCCTTCCTTGTTCTGTATGGGAAAGCTTCCCTCTGATTTATGCCTTTACCCAGCATCAATACATATTTACTTAAAAAAACCCTCTTGACTATTTAAACCATATGCAAATTATCAGTTCACATCTGCGATGTGTATCAAGATTGTAATAATTTCCTCTGTTACACAGAACGCCCTGTTGTGTTGGCGTTAAAAAACGGAACATATGAAAGCCTCCAGGGACATCTCTGTTAAAAATCCCCATATTTTAGCGGCAGCTGGAAACTCCCACAGAAGACACCATTTCAAATCAAGGCTGTTCTGTAACGCACAAAGAGTGGATACAGAGTTGGAGGCAGTGCTGCTCAAACACTCAGATTTCCCACTTCCCATCGTTCCTGTTTTGTAATATTTAAGAAATGTTTAAGAGGAAACTGGATAAAGTACGGCAGGTTTTTTGTAAAGAGTCTCTGGTTCGTGTTAAAACATAGCACTGATGGAAGAATCACATCAGTAACCCCACTGCACTGAAAAATACTCTTGGGTAAACTACAAAGCCTAGATAGAATTTCTGAAACAAATTATTAAGCCTTTGCTGAATGCGATGAGCGGACATTGATAAAAAAAAATAGCAGGAAAACTTTGAAGGCTGAGACTTGTTGCCCCAAACTGGTCCCAGTTTTCATGATTTGCTCCTGTAGAGGTGTTAATCATTACCAAAATACCAGCAGTTAAACAAAAAAGGCTTTCCAAGGTCCACGCATTCTAAGGCACCTGGACAGTGAGCAGGTCCTTGGAAGGCTGCTTAATACACAGCTCATGTGAGAGGAGATCAAACAGCATGAAAACGTTGTCAGATGAGGACTGGAAATTCCCCACTGCGTTCGCTGGAAGTGGCGTTAGTCACTGAAAGTTCCCCAGGGCAAGTGACTAAAGCAGTGAAGTCCCCAGGACTTGTGAGAGACCTGGAGCGAGCCAGGCACGGTTACCTGGCCATCAGAAATGAAGCGTTAGCCAGGATCGGCCTCGCCGTGCTCTGTGGCTTTGGTTAACAGAGGTTGAACTGAGTCTGAAAGGAAAACTGAGTCAAGGAGCTTTGAAACAGCAAGCACTGATCCTGTTCGACCAAAGTGATCTCTAGCTTTCACATTTATTGGAAATGAAATTTAACACCAAGATTACTTATTATTTTTAGCCCAAAGGTAGCAAGTGCAGTGTTAACTTGTTACACTGGACTCGCAACTTTATGGAAGCTGCCTTTTGAGCTGCAACTTAAACTGAACGTTCTGAGAAGTAACAGATGAAAGAAACCCCTTTGCCTCCCTTCTCCACGGACAGAGGTAGTAGAAATGTTGTTGCAACTCAGTCAATCCTGTTTGAATTTTACTAAAAGGGAGTCTGATATGCCAAGTTCACAAGGTTGGCTCTTCTGTTGAATGAGATACTATTCTCTACTCCTCAATTTCAAGCAAAGGCAGAAATTAAGATCATAGAATTATAGAATGGCCTAAGCTGGAAGGGACCTTAGAGATCATTTTAATCCAGGCTCCTTGCCGCCAGGGACGCCACCATCCATTATGCCAACTCTTTTCTGACAAACGTTATGAAGCATAAATACTAACACATCTTAAACCAGATATTAAGCCCTCCTGCGTGCATTTTCAACCTCTTTGCTAAATCAAACATCTTTATTTTGTTTTCTCATAATTGCTTTAGTATCTGAAAGAAGCAAAAGTCAAAAAGACGGTTGTCGTTGTGCACTGTGTCACTTCTAATCCCTCCCACCACTGAAATGCTTGTGGTTCCAGTCATCACCTCACAAAGGATCTGAGGATCCTGCACTCCATGAGCAGGCAGGATCAGTCACTCAGGAAAAGGATACTGAGCTAGGCAGGACTTTGGTCTGACCCGGCATGACAACCATTAAATTCTCATCAAAATTCCTGACAGAGACTTAGGCAAAAAAGTTAAGTACTCTTTACCTGTTATCTAAGGGTTACATAGGTTGTAGATATTCTCTCAGATAATCTATTTCTTTTGCCTCTTGAGGTTAGAGAAAACAGGAATAAAAGTAGTGCTTTGGATAAATTAAAATTGTTTACTGTATGTCTGTGCAGTAGGAACCCAATACTAGACAGAGCATCTCATACTTTTTGCACAATAGCTGTTGCATAATTCAGTATAACGTGATGTGAGAAGGGAGAAAAGCGAATCCTGTGCCAGCAATAGCTGAAGGGAGTAGCTGTCATTTTAAGACCTCAAACACCACCCTGAAAAGTCAATACGTTGTGAATTAATTAAGAAAGGCTAAATGTTTTATTGCCGATAGTGAAGTCCGGCCAGAGCTAAAGATCAGTTTTGTGCCAGGCAGTGGGCAGGAGTTCAGGGCAGTTGCATTAGCCAACTACTTGGGCTAGAAAAGCTTCTTCCCTTTGGGCTCAATCTGTGGTTTTCTTTGGGCCAAACAGGTTTTGGGGTGTTTTTTGTTTCTGTTTGGTGGTGAGGAGGCAAGGAGGAGGTTTTTGCAGGCCATGCAGATATGGCTCTAGGATATGTTGGTTTTCTGCATTATGTGGGGAAAAACAAGTAAAAGCTTTATTTCTGAACTTTGAAGCTCAAGGCTGTCAGGCATTTAGAAATGAAAGCATCTCTTAAAACTTGTTAACATAACAAGCCTATGGGACTGGTAATCAAATGGTGTTTTGTGGAAGGATTTTATTTTGGGCCTGACATAAGGAAGCAATAAGGACAAAGCACAAGCAGGCACTATGGGTAGTAACTTGTTGGGGCTTTCTTTTTTATTCAGGGGCTCATGTACAGGAACCAATGCGGCCACCACGAGCAGTGCTGCCCAGCTCTGCTGAGCAGAAACAGGGAGCCAGGGTCTCAGCGCTGCTGGGATTTGCCAGGTTCTTTGCTACCACTTGCAGCAGCTGAAGCCTCCTCCTGTCAGCCAGGTGCTGCTGCCTTCCCTCAGTGAGAAAACAGGGAATTTCAATACTGTTTGCAAAGTAATTTCGACAGCTTCCGTGCTTCTGAACTTGTACATTAAATTGTACATGCTTACTGGTTTTCGAATTTAGCCTTCCCACCACAGTAGCTACAGGAAATTTTCCCCGTTTCAAGCTTTGTTGCTTCTGTGTTTAAACCATAACAGTGTCTTAGCCACAGCAGTGTGAAAGTGGAACATGCTTTTCTGGAATGCATCATGTTTCCAAAAAGAAGTTTATAGATCTCCTCAGTAATTTCTGTACCCACAGACTTTGCCCACACTTACAAGATTTCATAAAAATACCCCTGTGGAGAAGCAAGAGGAAACTGTTGCCATTTTCTTTTGACATGGGACCACCCACGTTCTCAAACAAGCATCTCGCTGATAGTTCAAAGGGTCTGGTTAGCTACCACTGAATTTGGAACAAAACTGAGATTCACCCGCACATTTGAAAAGTCAAGCCCTTTAAAGCATTTAAAAATATTTTTGTTCCTGGAGGCCCTAAAGGAAGAGAAGCTGTTTGCGTTCTGAATAGCTGAGAGAAAGACTGGAAGACAGAAAACTAATTATGACTTAACTATTACACTTCTTTTGTTTGGGATAAATATGTGAGTCTGGGTTTTCAGTTAAAGTGTTCCTTATATTTGCTTTTGGATGGTTCTTGCTTTAAACATCCCAGGAACTATCCCAGGATAGTGAAGTAACACATTCTGAAAATAGAGACCATAAAGGTTTTAAATGAAACACATGGGTTTCATGTTATTTGATATAGATAATGGTTTTATGGACTATATGAGCCAAATCCAGTGTTGAGGTGGATCATGCCACGAAGAAATGCAAAGCTGCACTATCTGGATGCCGTGTGTCCCTGCATAGTGTGTTCTGAAACCGATTTTAAACGCAGAGAAGAGGGGCAATACTCTGTGGTGAAAGGGCACAGCAGCTAAAGCCAGAGAAGTGAATTCTCATTTAGAGAGCATCACCTGTGTCTTCGGAAACTCATAGCAGCTTCTCAACTATTGTGCAAGTTGCCTGATCTCAAAGTACCTGCTTTGAGAAATGTTTGTCAGCTGGAACTTTAGGTTATCTTCCTCAGGCACGCAAGATTAGAGGCTTACAACCCTCTTTCTAGCAGGGTTTGCCAAGGAAGACTTGGTATCGGAGGCTTGCAGAGAGTGATTGCAGAAGAGGGGTGGGAACCTGTTCTATCATGCAAACACAGCTGGGATGGGAGTGGAGAATTTTAATTTTCTAACAAGGTAATCTTCTCAGAGGGCTTAACATTCCCTGCCTAGCAACTGGGCTCATTCTACAGTGCATTACTGCTCTAAGTCTGCCACAGACCTGGAGGGATTTACTCAAATGCAAATCTAACCAGTTAGGGAGGGGAAAGTTTGTTCTTTCCCTTTTCTTTGTAATTACTGTGGGTAGTTCACAAACCAGCTGTAACTGTTATAAAACACAATACTGGCAAACTTTTGTATCAGAAGCGCAGGGAAGGTGGTACGAAACACTTCTTGCATGTTTTCTCCTTGGATTTTCTCAGACTCACTCAGTAATGCACCTGTACCAACCGACTAGAGCAGTTCAGTTTCTGTTCACGAACCAGGCTTCCCCTGAAACATCTTCAGCAAAGTCCCCGAGTTGTCTGCGAGGCCTACGGACTGCTTTGGGCCCTGTGGTTGACACGTGGGTTCAGAGCTGCCACCCTCAACATGGGAAAATATTAACAATGGTTTTGTGCCGGGAGTGGAGCAGCACAGCACAGCAGCACCATATCCACCTGGAAGCAGCTCAGCTATCCAAAGTAAAGATACCTTTCCTGTGCAATCCTGTTTTTACAGAACCTGGCACCAGGCTTGATCAGCCTTCAACTTACCTTTCTTCCATCAGAAAAATAAGATTTTAAAGGGAGAGGAACTGAACCTGGGGGCTGAGGGAAGATTCTATGGCAATAGCCATTTTCACAGGTTATCTCAAATATTTGTTTTACAGTGTCCTCTAAATTTCACCTGTAGCTCTTTGCCAGAAGCTTCTTGCACATGGTTAGTTCTGTGTACCCAGCTGCAACTCCTTCATGTGAAAAGCCTTTTGTGCCACAAATTCAGGATGAGTTATCAAAAATAGAAGTGTACATTTGTGTTGCTAAATCCTGGTGCGTACACGTAGGTGCATAGGCATTATGGCTCTTCTTAGGGCTGTTATGTTCTCAAGAGTTAGGGCAGTGAACTCACTTAGGCTTATATCCCCCCAAACTCTCTCATCTTTACAGCTAGTCTGGCAATTAAATGTCTAGAAATTATGGCAAGACACGACCTCTAGTAACCAAGCTCAGCTTCTGCTTTCACTTCTATAGCTTCTTGGTTTTGTTACGTGCCTGGGCAATGCAAGTAGGTTTAACAACTCCAATGAAATCCATTTAATCTTGCAGTCTCAGTCGAGCTGACGCCAACATCTGCCTCCCTCATTACAAGCCTAAATGCAATTCTCTGAGACAGCTTTATGACCCATAATGGAAGAAAAAAAAAAATAAATCACCAATTACTGAGATAGATTTCTTTTCAAGTTTGAGGAACTCGAATGCCCCTGTCAGTTTTACCAACAAAGCAGGCAGGTTTTATCTAGCTGTCAGCAGAGACTGGCCTTGTTCTGTTACTGTACACGTTATCTAGCTTATTCCAGCTGGGCTCAATAAACATTGCAGAATCAAACTCCTACTTTTCCTGGTGTTGAGGGTCATACTCCCAGGTGTGCTTATTGTGTATTCTGGGAGCTTTACCAAAGCACTTTTTACTACTGAGGAATAGAGACATTCTGCTGCAGAATAAAAGCAACAGAAGTCTCTACTGCCCCTGTGCTCCACAGCCCTCATGCGAGGAGAGTGGAGTTGTCCTGCCATCTGACTCCCAGCTCCAGCCAAGTGCACTGGCTGCCGCTAGTAGCCAGACTTGCCCTGTGTTTTTACCTGCACCATTTTCAGAGGCTTCAAATCTTGAATGAGCAGTAAAAATAAAAAAACCCCCAACAACAAAACAAAAAAAACCAAAACAACAAACCAAGATTTCTTTTAATCACCGCGGTGACTCCATTTCTGCCATCTCGAGATGATAATTTTGATTATTAATAATAGTAAGAAGAAATAAAATTGTTCAATGTATGCCCTAGTGAATTCTTGCCAGTTGATCCCTTTCATCTGCTTTTATTTTTTTCAAAGAGTTTTAAAATGCCAAAGACTCAGAAGCAGTGTTAAGTTCTGCATAAGTGCCCCCCTGAATCGCTGGAGCCCGAGGTCACATCCCCATCAGCTGCTCTTGTGTTCAGTTATTTCCCTCCTGCCCTTTCTCCTTCCCCCCAAGCCTAGTTACAATAACCAACAAACTTCATTATTATTTCTCATCAGAAGTGCTAAACAGAGGAGTTCTTGGAGCAGGAAGAGATCATACCTATCTGTAAACACCTGTGTCGAGGACAGATGGAATAGATAAAGTAGGACTTCGGAAGAGTCACCTTTGCTTTGTGTGTTCCGTAGTGGTTCCCTTGGGCAGCAGCGCTCACAACGTTTGAGAGGGGCCATACTGGCAGAATCAGTGTCAGGGTCAGGAATGAGCCTGGCAGCGGGTTTGAGGGGAGGGTGGAATTAGCACAGGTACCCTTTCTGGAAAGTTTTTTTTTAAAAAAAACCCAAACAACTGTGTTTCGTGGAGATGCCTCTAGATTTGAACAGCTTCTTGGAAGCTGCTGTAGCTGGCCATTTCCTCAGATGCAACCTTAATGGATTTTCGTCTTGTTTGTCTCTTTCAGGTGGATTGCGGGGGATAGCGCGAGGTGGTGTCGCAGGCCTGACGCTCACTGGCCTCTACGCGCTCTATAACAACTGGGAGCACATGAAGGGCTCCCTAGCCCGGCAGTCCCTCTGAGCGGGGCAGCCAGTGCCGGGCAGAGGACACGCTTGCAGAGCCACCAATCCAATCAGTTGCAAGATCTATCTTGTGCCCTTTCCCGTTTTATTTACAATTAGCACGAAACTGAAGGAAGCTACGCTGGGAGGAACCTCCTGACGCCATGTAGCTGGACTGGCCTTTCCCTTCCCGCCAGCCGGTCACTGGAGAGGTGGCAATATCTGTTGGACCTGCACGTGAGCAGAGTGGCCACCGAGACAGTCTCCCCTGGGCCAGAGCTACGAGGCATGCTCCAGTCACACCGCCGAACCCGCCACGCTGCCCGCTGCGTTGGGCTGCCTGCGCTACACCAAGAGCGCTGCGTAATAAAGCGCAGAGCGCTTCGCTGCGGTCTGTCACCGTCCAGCGCCCGGGCGGCCGGAGCCCACGGGAACCGTCGGTAGCGAGTGGCACAGGGCAAGGCTTGTTACTCTGACAGCAGAGGGTAAAGCTGTAAAAAGGGACGTCATCATGAATAAAAAGGGTGGTACTTATGCAATAGTGTTTCTGTGCTTTGCTGTTCCTGCTGCTGATAAGACAAAAATGTGCTGCGTCCAGCGACTCTTATTTGCAGTTTTGTTTTGAAGGACCAGTGTGGTAAAGTCCTGGGGGAGTTAGTGGGTGAGGGGAAGGGAACAGACAGGCTGACTGTGTCACGATGTGAGGTGATGGTGAGGCATAACAGGGCTTGCCTAAAAAAAAAAAAATAATCTGAAAACTAAGGAACTGGCTGGTTTGGGACAAGGTACAGTTGCTGTTGCAGAACAGCTGCCAGTAGATTAACAGAACACTCCAGGATCTCAGAACTCACTTAGCCAATGGTTAAAAACCAAGCAGTATAAATTACAGAATCACGGAATGGTGAGGCTTTGAAGGGACCTCCAAAGATCATCCAGATAAATACTCCTCTCATTGCCTATTACATTTTTTTTAATTAGTGACAAGCCTTTTCCCCCAAGTACTGTTTGTAGATTATTCACAGAAAGAAGATACGCAGTAAACCTACACCTTCTCCAGCAATAAAACTGAACCACGTACCAAGCATTGTTTGCAGATAAACTGAACAGTAAGTTGTGAATTAATTCAGTAACTGGAGTCGTTGTACAACAGCTCATTCCTTCAGTTTTTAAATAATTAACCAGTTAAATAATTAAACAGGACTGAGTGTGAAGGCAGAGTAAGGGAAAAACAAGGAACTTACTGCTCAGTAGACAACTTAATGCTGAACAAGACTTTGAGTTCTCACTGCTGAAACATCGCTCAGTAACTACCCAACAGGATAAAACAAAAAAGCAGCAGAGAGGTGGTAGCTCTTACCTTCCTCTGAGAAGAAACGCAACCTTGCCAAGGAGCCTCTTTAGGAGGAGCTGACCCCTGAGACTGGCTTTTTGTAGAGCAAGGGCCCTCACTAACGAGGTTTCACAGTTGAATTCACTTAGCTTTGTGTGGATACCAGGTGCAAGCGGGTGCTTTATGCCAGCACTTACCCACATGTGGCATGAAGACAAGAGAAGGGACCTTTCCTCACCCGCTTTGTAAATGCTGTTTCTTGTTAAGCCTCACGTTCTGCTGTCTCAGTGGGCTGCGTGTTGCTGTGGTGGTGTTAGAGCTGGACCTTGCAGCACGTGTTTTGTGAGGGCTGTACCACCAAAGACACCGTTCCCTTCTTGCAAGCTGCAGACGGTGACACAGGCACCAGCAGAGGTGTCAGGTGGGACATCAGGAAAATGCATGCGCTTGCTTTGTGAGCTTGCTCTCCCCACTGGCATCAGGGAGCACCTCTCCACCCATGTCTCCTGGCCACCTACAGTCCCACATGCGTGGCCGCGCTGGAGGAAGGGCCAGTACCTGTGCTGGGGGCTGACAGCAGGCGAGGGTTGCCTTTCCAGCGTCAGGAACTTTGCAATCCATCTTCCAATTTTTTTCTCAAGACTTACTCAGGACTGAAATGTGACCCAGGAGCTTTCTGCCCCTAACTGAAGTGGGAAAACCTCAAGGCTTAACAAATGCCTTCTCTTCTTCAGGTGCACTGGAGATAATGTAGGGATAACCTTTTTAAGTTCAAACTTGCCAAAACCTTAAGGCTAGGCTGACTCCTGAGACAACTTAGCGTGTTATCTGGTCTGCAATAACCTCAAATTTCCTGGAATTGCCTGCCTCAGGGGCAGAGCTTTTTCTGAATAGCTCTTTCCTGCATTCACAATTTAATGGTGAACCATCAGTACAAAGTTGCTACTTAGAGCTGCAACCAAAACTATCTTAATTCAGTAGAAATAGAAAGAAGTACAATTAAGTTGTGAACAGGATTTGGCAAGCAATAGCCCTCCCATGCAGGATTAGCCAACTGTGAGCATGGGAGACCCGGCCATGTTGAGGAGGGGTGGTTTCTCCTGCGGTGCCAGTCACGGCACTTGGTTTTGCTCATAGATCTGAGATGGCTTTCCATGCAGTGGCAGCAAGTGGTGGAGTCCAAGATAACAAGTATACACAGAAGCTTTTTTGAATCTTGTAAAGCTGCTTTTGTGTACTTTTTGGAACTGAGAAAGGCAATTTCGCTTTCCTGACTCACCTGGTCTGTACTGCAGCCTTCACTACTGCTCAGCACTGGCCTGTCCCTGTCCCCGTCACCTCCCCTGGCCAAAGCCCGGGTGCCTGCCCCTGCTGCCCAGCAGCTGGGATGTCACAGGCCTGCAGCAGGCAGGCTCTCGGCTTGTGATGCGTCTCCCACCCAAAAGGAGCCATAAAACTCCGTATATCCACCGACACTCACGTTCCATGACCACAAAGCATTTCAGTTACTTTGCACAGAAGCAAGTTAAGGGGGATTCATTTGTCACAGAAACTCAGCTCAGGGAAGCGGGAGGTAACTGCTCCAGCTCCAGAGGGAGGGAGAGAGCAGAAACATTTCAGAGGACCTCATTCCTCAGCACAATGAAAAAAGGTCTCCAGCAATTAGCCAGAGAAGCCTGGACTAGCACTCTCGGCTCCAGCTACTCTATCTTCCCTGTCTGTGGGAGACCTGAAGTATTTCTTTCCCTGTCCTTGAAAGCTATATTGGGATACACACTCAGCAGCTCTGCATGTGGCTGTTTTTAACAAAGAACCTCTAATTCAGTTAGAATAAATGTGTGTACACACACCCACACATGGAATTCAAGGTTTTGTGGCTGAAAGGCTGCCAGGCCCAGCTGTGTGCTGTCTCGTGAGAATGTTCTTTGCGGTACAATGCAGCCTGGAGTTTAAAGGAATGGTAAAATCCCCAAGGGAGGAAAAAACGTGCAGGGAGTCTAACGTTCAAACAGCAGGAGAGCCAAAGAGGAACTAACTTCCGATTGCACAGCCAGACCAGAGGTTCTACAGCCAAGAGAGGACTGAAGGCCACCAAAATCCATGAACCTTCCTTAAGTATTCAAGAGCGATAAGACACCAACGTTGTTTTGTCTAAATCTGTACTTCTGACAGCAGCTGAGTAAAGGCCACATGATTCAGACACACCAGCCTCCCGTCCGGGGGCGCCCGGGGGCAGTGTGACCCATCCAGGGTTCCTGGTGCCAGGGTTTCCCGGCGCTGGCAGCGGAGCTCCCTGCAAGTGGATTGTGGTGAAAGGAGGAGCTGGAACGCATGAAGGCAGCACAGGGATGCTGCAGTGGCATCCAAACAGGATTCAACCAGGCAACGTGCCACAGCACTTTTTGTTAACCATTTTTCAAAGGAGACATACCACACCTTTGGTTGCAATATTTTTTTTAATGGAAAAGACTAATCAATGTTTTACATAAATATCAATTAGTGATAACGAGTCAGTTGAGTAAGTAAAGGAATACATATCCCAAGTTTTAAAGGCTCAAAATGAACTGACAAAGTAGCACACAGAGACAACTACAAGGAATTACAAGAGGTGGGCTGCACGTCAATCACCTTTACCAAGTACAACGGTGAATCAAATTAGGCTCTGACTGGAGTTGGTCACAGTGCGGCCTTGCCGTGCAGCAACAAGGACACATTCAAAGGAGAAAGTGAAATTCAAAACCACCTTTCTGCTTCCATCAGAAAGCTCTGACTATGAAAGCACCAAAGCCTCAAGTGGTCCACTGATCTTAAGCCCTTTCGGGATCTGGTTTCAAATGTGCTGTGTCCTCCTCTCCGAGTAAAAGCTTCCCTCTAACCACACCGGTTCTAGGAGAAGGGAATGTGTTCACACTGCAAAGTGATACCAAGGTTGGATCTGGCTAATAGTTTCTTTCTACGGGGTTGTAAGAACTGAAATCACTGTTATTCCCAAGCAGGCTGCAGGGACGGCAAGAAGGGGAGGCTATTTTTTTTTGAGTCCTTAAGAGGAATTTGTTAAGTGAGGAGAAACTACGTAACTTCACAGTTTTTCATGCAAACTGACAGGCATGACCCACATTTCCATCTAACACCTGCACACTCTTTGTCATGGTTTAAAATGCTGAATACCTGAAGAGGTATTGCTCATATTATATCCACAGGTGTAGGGATCAGTTACTCCACCCCAATTTCACAGGTGTAACAACACAGAAATGCATAGATTAAGTATCTTTAAAATGGATCAAACCACACAGTTTGCCAAGTTAGTGTTTCCCAATTAAACAGCATGACATCAATCTGACGAGAAGGCATCCAACTCCCCAACTACTAACTTTAAATACTATGCTGCTAAGATGCCTGCTTTCCAGTGGTTTAGTCAATGAAGTTCAATATAAATTACCTAGAACTAGCAAAGGCATACACATTTCATCTTCCAGCTTTTTCAGTGAAATTTAAATAGTTATTAAATGCTGGAGACACGGTAGGATCTGATCTACCGTTCCCTGAAAATTAACCCCCTGCCCTGTTCTCCAAGTGGCTTACAAAGTCCTAAGAAAAGCTCGCATCCAGAACTAAGTTACCAATTCTCCTGCCACGTGTCAGACCCCATAACTTCATGTCTTTCTCAAAACCTGGACTACACATACTCAGCTTGGAGATGCACTAATACAAGATGGAAACAAAACCTCTCAAGTTACCAACTCCTCGACAAAGGAAATCATTTCCAAATGCAGCCAAAGTTATCTTGCATTTGCAGGAACAGTAACACTCCTGAAGTGACTGCCAAAGGTGGACGTCTCGCAGCACCACGGAGATTTTTCATTATCTTTGCACTGGCTTCAACATACTTCAGGTGACAACCCATTAAAGAAGATTCACGTAGTCCCGCAACAGACACAAATTTACTAACACCTCTATAGTATCAGATTGCTTATGCTCAGTGGATTTACATTTTGGAATTAATAACAAAAAGGTATCTTCTGCACCGTAACTCTGGTATATGAGTAATCTTTCTTTTTGTTACAATTTTAGAAGAAAAAGCAGACGGTCAAACACAAAACACAAGAATTCAGCTGGCTGCAGTCACTCAGCGTGATGTGCGAATCATCAGGAAGGGGACGATTCTGATGCTTCCAGTTCTTCACATCTAAATAAATTTTAAATTGGGTTATTCTTTCATAAACAGAAAGTAACACTTGGGGAAAAATACATGTATAAGACACCCTGGGGAAAAAAAAAATCATACTAAAATACTTCCTAGAACTGAGTATCTTGCCCTGTAAGGGTCTGAAGTACACCTGCTAAGGCAGCTTTCTTTCAGGAGTTTCAAAAACAACGATAAAGAGTTATCTCGGCAGAAAGGAAAAACATGAGGTCTGCTGTAAATACATTGCCGAGATAAGAAAGAAGCTGCCTGGAAATTTAGACATTAATTGCACGTTCTAATTGCAGCAGAAGTTACCAAGATTTTACCAAGTGTTGGTCAGTTGGAGAGTAATTTACTCAAGAACATAAGCAATTCCCTTCCTGGGCTTGTGATCAGAATATTGAAAATATAGAGTGGCCCAAGCTGTTAAAAAGGTACAGGGGAAGGAAATCACAGTGCTGCTCACTATTACATTCTGAGAACTCTGAAGATGACAGGCAGCTGCCAGCATCTGGATGCTGTGCCCCCAAGTTACACTTCAGCTCAGCTGTTCCGATACACTCTGTGCATCCTACCTGTAAAGGAGTTCGGTACAGCCATTTTTCTGTTTCTCCGTTGAGTTTCATACAGGCAAAAAGGTCACAGACTGTAGGAAGGCCAAAGTCCTGAAAAAGAAGTCACCTCAATTACTGATCTCCAATAGTAAATATTTTCTAACGTATCTTCAAATTCTGTCAAGCATTCAAAAAGAAAAACTGACTTTGGAGTCTCCGAGAGGAATACTTCTGTCATTTAGCAAAACACATTAACTTGGTTTTGTGCTCAATGCTGGCCTCATCTACCTAAGTAAGTAAGTAATAATCACCGAAACCTAAAAACTGCCAGTGACTATTACCCAGAAGAGCTATGAATTTGGAAGAGACAAGCGGTGCATTCAGCAGAACAAACCCAGCACGCTAGCTTAAGACATAGCAGTAACAAAAACTTATGCTCACCTGTGCTTTCTTGCGCAGGAGCCATTTATCTTCTGCTGAAGGCGTGTTCGCGTTTTCCAGACTGTTTGAAGTCAACACCCAACTGTTCACATTCAAGGGGAGGTGGAATGGAGCCAAGAGGTCTAGGAAAGGACTCTTGAAACTATTATCTGCTTTTTCCCTACTCGCCTTTTCTTCTGTGCTTTCTGCTTTGTGCTCAGACTTGGCCAGCCAGCTTGTCAGAGGCCTTTCGAGCAGCACTTTCAAGGGTTCCGCGATTTCTGCTGAATAATCCGCTTTCTCCACACTAACAGGTCCCTCCATGAGCTGCTGGGCAGGGTTAAGCCAGGTACCAGCAGCAGACTTGGTCTTCTCGTGCTCAGGGTTTGGTGCATCTTTCTGGCTGACTGGAACTCCGTTTTTATCCTTCCCTTCTTTCCTCAGAAGCCATTTACACAGAGCCTCTTTTCCACAGTTTTCATCGCACACGCATTCTGAAAAGCTGGCACATAGGTCATTGGCTTTGCACACATCTTCCACTTTAAATGGCGCCTGGGGATGCTGAAGTAGCCAAGCATTTACGGCAGATGTCGTGGGTGATTTCTTTCCGTCAAGATGCTCATTCAGGCACTTCAGATTTCCCAGGTTCTCGATTTCCACGCTTTTGATCTGGCTGCCACGACAATTGGTGCAGGTTTCAGCTTTGAGGAGCCAATCACTCAAATTAAATTCCTCCCTAAAAGGTCTGAATTCATACTTCCATTTCCCATCTGAAACACCACTTCCATTTTCTGTGTCAGGAGTGAGCAACCAGTCAGAAAGATCCATCTCTTCTTCTCCAAGGGACTCCAATTCCTCCACCTTTTCAAGAGCGGAAAAGGATGAGTTGAAAGTAGACGTGGAGTCCTTGCAGCCAGGGGGGTCTGCCTTCCCGGCAACATCACACTGTTGATTCTGCAGGAGCCAGTTTTCCAAATCTTTCAGATTTCCCCAGGCTTGCTCAAAATAACAGACTTTGGAAGAATTTAAATCCTGGTAAAGACACATTGAAACGCATCTATTAGCACTAAAAGACAATGATCAGTAACTGCACCGTTACAGCTTTGAGCATTCTGCTGCTAAGTGCAAACGCATTGGCTGAACATGAGGCAAAGAGAATTACAGAGGTTTAACTTCCACCATACTCCACATGCAACCCAACACTGTGTTTTCCCCTTTATTAAAAAACAGGTTAGTGCAACAAAGGCTCACCTGGCTGGGCTCCGATGCACATTTCTGCGTAACCCATTCTTCAAGATTGGTGCTGGGAACATACGGAGCCTGGCAAACACCCGCAGGTCTGCTTCCAAGTAACCAGTCAGCAAGTGAGGCGCTCACTGTCCCACACAAGGTTTTCTGCTGAGGAAGAATGCTCTTAGTTATGAAAAAGTCTAATTGCTGAGGCAATTGACGGTGAGTATCAAAACAGGCACCCAACGTGCATCAGTATTGCCAAACCAAAAGAAAAAATGGTCCCTTCTAATTAAATAAAAAGGTAAATGTTCAACCGCCTGTATGACTTGAAGCCACTGTACTGATAGATGACTCCAAATTCTTCAGAGTGCAAATAACAAGAAAGGGAGGAGACAACTTCTACAATGCACAGTTCTGATCTGCACAACCCAGCCAGAACCCTCCTTGTGACCACAATTCCCACTGCTCTGCTGCCCTCCTTCTTGCAGAGCCCAACACAAGACTTCCCAGGAATTTCTGCATTAGAAGGAACTGCGTAGTTCTGAGTACTGAGCTGACAATGTCAAGGAACATTCAATCAGAAAACTCTGACGGACTCTCACACTCCAAATTCGCTTTCTTACTATGTTCTTGCACATCTATTCCTGGAGCAGTTAGAACATCGAATCACTAATTAATGCTCACCACAGCAACCTTTACTGGCTACTGAAACATCTCAACACCAACGGAAGTCATAACTCGAGGGAGTTAACGTACTGTGCTCGAGTTCTCGTTTTCCCTTTAACACAATGAGACACTCAATGATACAAGGCTTGATCTTACCTGCTCGCAGTTCATTAGGGCACAGTTCTGCCCTGGGAACCAGGGAGAAGTATTCTCTCTCTCTGAGGTTTGCTGCAAGGAAAGAAAAGCAAAAGTTAATTTAAATCTCAGTTTTTTCCAGTTTCTAGGCTGAATTCTACAGTAACGCAGAAGCATGGTTACAACTGGTCAGTTCTTTGTGGTTAACAATTTTCTCAACATTTAAAACCAGAACGGAGAAAGATTTACTATAAAACACTACCTTTAGTCTACTTTCTTTGAGAAAATTATCCCCAATAACGCAGAAAATACACTGCTTATGTAAAAAGCCCTGAATATTTATATCACTGAATCATAGAATGTTTGGGGTTGGAAGGGACCTTGAAAGATGATCTAGTCCAACCCCCCTGCCAGAGCAAGATCACCTAGGGCAGCCACACAGGAAAAAAACCAAACCAAAACAAAAAACACCAAAATCTTGTGTCGAGGGCTGATTCTCAACAGATCACAGCGAGGGAGCTGCTCTGCTACAAATGAAACCTTGACCCAGAATCAGGTTGTCTACGAGTGATTTAGCACTAGGTGCTCCACGAACATGAGGCACGGAATGGGGGAGAGGCCGTCTGCCCCTCTGGGTCCTGACCAGAAAGCGATCTGTGATGTACAGAAAGCGATCTGTGATGTATAACTAATAACAGCTAAAGAAAACTGTGACATTAATTTTCAGTCACTGGAACAGAGTAAGAATACAATCATAATTCCATCAGTCTCTGCGAAAATATATTATGGTAACACATACATAACTAGATCTAAGCTCAGTCAATACCAAAACTACATGCAGTAGGCAATAAAGCACCATGTAGACACTACATGGCTGAAACTATATGACTTGTACACAAGAACCATTCAAGCTGTAACTACAAGTAGACAGCAAGCTGCTGTCCCAGACTTCAGGGGAGCAGAGTTTGGCCTCTTCAGGGATCCGCTCAGTAGAGTACCAGGGGATATGGCCCTGGAGGGAAGAGGGGCCCAAGAGAGCTGGTTAATGGTCCACGATCACCTCCTCCAACCTCAGGAGCGACCCATCCTGACAAAGAGGAGATCAGGCAGAATCACCAAGAGGCCTCCACAGATGGATGAACAAGCAGTTCCTGGACAAACTTAAGCACAAAAAGGAAGCCTCCAGAGGGTGGAAGCAAGGCCAGGTATCCTGGGAGGAACACAGAGAAATTGTCTGAACAACCAGGGCTCAAGTTAGGAAAGCCAAAGCCCTGACGGAATTAAATCTGGCCAGGGATGTCAAGAGCAGCAAGAAAAGCTTCTATAGGAAGACTGGTGCTAAAAAGAAGACTAGGAATCATGTGGGCCCTCTCCGGAACACAACAGGAAACCTGGTTACTAGGGATAGGGAAAAGGCTGATACACTCAACTAGTTTTTTCCTCCAGCCACAGCGCTCAACTTGCACAAGGCAAAGGTAGGGACTGGGAGAATGAAGAACCACCTGCTGCAGATCTGGTTCAAGACCATCTAAGGAACCCAAAGGTGCACAAGTCCATGGGACCTGATGAGGTGCACCCACGAGTCCTGAGAGAACTGCTGGATGAAGCTGCTTAAGCCACTATCCATTATTTTTGAGAAGTTGTGGCAGTGCAGTGAAGGGGAAACATTCCACCATTTTTAAAAAGGAAGACCCAGGGAACTACAGGCCAGTAAGTCTTGTGCCCAGCAAGATCATGGAGCGGATCATCCCGGAAACTACGCTAGGGCACGTGGAAAATAAGGAGGTGATCAGTAACAGCCAACATGGCTTCACCAAGGGCAAATCGTGCCTGACAAATCTGGTGGCCTTCTGTAACAGGGTTACAGCATTGCTAGACAAGGGAAAAGCAACTGACATCACCTGCTTGGACTTGTGCAAAGCATTTGGCAATGTCCCACATCACATCCTCATCTCTTCATTGGAAAGGCATGGATTTGATGGATGGACCACTTGGTGGATAAGGAATTGGCTGGATGGTCACACTCAACATAGTTTTGGTGAATGTCCAAGTGGAGACCAGTGACGACTGGTATTGCTCAGGGATTGGTACTTTGACCAGTGCTGTTTGACGTCTTTGTTGGCAACATGGACAGTGGATCAAGTGCACCCTAAGCACTGGGCTGCACCAAGAGAAGAGTGACCAGCAGGTCAAGGGAGGTCATTCGTCTGCTCTGCTCTGGTGAGACCTCACCCGGAGCGCTGCGCCCAGCTCTGGGGCCCTCAGTGCAAGAGAGACATAGACCTGTTTTGGAGCGGCTCCAAAGGAGGCCACAAAAATGACCAGAGGGCTGGAGCCGCTTCCCTATAAGCACAGGCTAAGAGTTGGGGCTGGAGAAGAGAAGGCTCCAGGGAGACCTTATAGCAGTCTCCCAGTACCTGAAAAGGGGCTATAGGAAAGCTGGGGAGGGGATCTTTATCAGGGAGTTTAGCAATAGGACAAGGGGTAATGTTTTCAAACTGAGAGCAGATTTAGATTAGATATCGGGAAGAAATACTTTTCTGTGAGGGCGGTGAGACACCAGAACAAGTTGCCCCGAGAAGCTGTGGCAGCCCCCTCCCTGGAAGTGTCCAAGGCCAGGCTGGATGAGGGTTTGAGCAACCTGGTCTAGTGGGAGGTGTCCCTGCCCATGGTGAGGGCGTTGGAACTAGATGATCTTTAAGGTCCCTTCCAACTCAAATCATTCTATGATTATATAAATATCACTTGGAATATTTCACACTACTGCCTCAAAAAGAGGCAGCAGTCCAAGTATTCCAACTGAGGAAAGTTTTGGTACTTACCATTGTTTTAATTGAACCAAACGAGGTAATAGCCTGGCGAAGGTAAGATGTGTCAGCCTCAAAATTCAGGATGGAAGACTCCTCTGGTTTAAGAGTAAGACTTTCTAGTCTGAAAGAGTAAAATGATAGTTACAGGAAGAAAGTAAGAAGTTACAGTCATCCTGTCATGTTTTAGGAATCAGACCATTATTTCATAAAAAGGCTTCCAAGCTAATTTGCCATTAAATAGGTAACAATAAAACTCTTAATACTTGCATAAAAATAAAGAGATGTCTATTCACAAACAGAACAAATATCCAGCAGACTACAAGTTTCTCCTTTTTACTTTGTCATCAACAACTAATATTTGAAATAGTCTGCACCAATGAGTACCTCCCCTCCTCGTTATAGTCCTGTTTTTAGAATCTAAGATAAAGAACATGCGAGAAATCATCTCAGACTGCTTTACAGTTCTTAATTCTAGGCACCATTAAAAGCACGGAAATGGTGAGTTAAGATTTATTATTAGTTCTATTAGAATCAAAAATCAGATTAAATTCGTAAGTCAAAATAAATACCAATTGTGTTAACTTGCATCATAAAATATATTTACCTCTCCAGGCAAAGTGAAATCTGGTTTGCTAGTTCGTTACTATAGGAGCGTTCCAGCTGATGAATAAGGCAATTGAATTGTCCCAAATACTGCACAGAAGACAAAGACATGTTATAGAACAATAACATGAAGATTAAAATCGAGAAAACTCTTGCAAGGACAAAGCTTACTTAAAAATGCCAGTTTAACAACTTACAACCAAATCTTACCCAATAGAGCTGCTGTGCCTGCTGCTGCAACGCCTCCTCTTTCAGCTGCTGGATGAGATCTACCTGCTCAAACAGCCAAACCTCACGGCTGCGCAGGCATTCCAGGTGGCGGCTGATGTGGCTGTGAATCTTCGCTTTTACCTGTAAGGTAACACGTACCATTTTGAGAACGTCCGTTAAACAAGTAGGAAGTGGCAGATGAACAGCTGCACCGATTACAAAATAATATTTGTCACAGATAAGTGGTATTTTTGGACCAACTTATTTCTCAAGAACTAACCACAGTCACCCACAGAACCACATAACTCAAGTTAGTAAAAGTTCTAAGGCTACCTTTAAATAAGGATCAAAGTAGAACGTTATTTGCAATATCTTTCCATTCTGATGTTTCAACTAACAGCTTTAGGAAATTCTGTGTGTCTAAGCCAGGAATACAGGAACGCCTTTATCAAGAGCACGAGTAAATTACACAGCAAGATGCTTGCAAGTCTCTAGGAAAACTTTAGACCACCACCATAACAGAAGGCACTCTGCAATAATAAAAACTGCCATTAAAGTCACGTTAGCTACTAAAACATTTTTTTAAAAAGAATTTTAAATTACCTCCCGCCAGTTCTCTTTAATCTGTTGTTCAGCTTTGACAATTCCAGATATAGCTGTTTCTAAGTCCTTCTTTGCTTGAAGGCACTTTGCCAGAGGCTCGCTGCTGCAGGAATTTCTACTTCTGTCTTGTGGAGGACTCATTCTTGAAGTGTTCCTAAAACACAGCGGAAAAAAAGCTCTTAACAGTTTCTATTCCTCTTTAACGGAAGAGGAAGGACATCATATGAATAACCATCTGCTCTACTTCTCTGCAAAGGTGGACAAAAAAGACCACTAAGAGCCTACACTGACAAAAGTTTTCTAAACACAGATAAAGCTTTTGCCAGGAGCAGCAACAGTCTCTCAAAACACCTCAGCCCACAGAATTTGCACAATCGCAGGAAAACCAACAGAGAGTTCACAGCAGCTTCAACTGCAGGATCTTAAGCAATCCACCTCAGAATTTTATGTCTGGCCAGCAAACTCCAGCAGCTGAGGGCTGATGCAGGCAAGGGTCTTTGCCAGAGCTGAGGGAGAACATGCTGGCGAGGGGCAGGAAACATTTCAGTTGCCTTTTTTGAGCTCCAGGCAAATGAACTGGCTCCCATAAATGAGAAAATCAAGTGTCCATACACAGTTCATTCTTTACTAAGCTGCACAGGCTGGAAATTATAGTAGCCATCCATTATTTCTGTCACGGTCACAGCCGTGGTAATTTACTCAGCTTCATGTATCCTCAAGTAAAAGGGGCTCACATACAAAATTTCTACAGAAGTTATACTGGTAAGGATTCTGCAAGTAAGGGAAAAAAGCTAAATATGTATTTTTAGTAAAAACAGGAAGTATCAATACAGGCAATTTTTCTAAATGGTGGGTATTTTGTTACCAAAGAGTTTCAATTCTCCTGTGAGTTTCATGGGATTCCTGAAGCACTAACTAGACACATAGTAAACATTCTTTTTAAAACAAATCTTCAGCGATGACAACTACAAAAACTCCCAGCAGAATTAATTAAATTGTACACATGTGCCAACCTAAACGTTTAATCGATTTTACCACTCCTCTGGATGGAACTGAACAGAGTAATCTGAATACGACAAGACAGCCAGGAGCCAGTGTTACTGGGCAGCTTTTGAGTGTGCACGAAGTGGTGGTCAAGCAGAAGCAGACAGAAGCAGCAAGGGGCCTGGCGAGGCAGCGGCAGAGGCTGCATCTCCCTTGGGTCCCTCCACACCACCGGCTTCTTGCACCCCACATGTCCCCAGTCATGAGACATACAGCAGGCACTGAAGCCACTCCAAGCCCCCGCACGCAACTGAATCCCACCCTTCACAATATCTCATCTCCTAAGTGCACAGCATGGCTACAACAGAAGTGAACTTGCACTTATTTTTTAAGCTTATGTTAATTCTACATCAAATTAGGGTGCAGATGGCCAAAACAGTCGTTCTCCATCCTGTGCTACAAATGTCAGTTTTGTCCTTATATGCATTGCATACTCTAATTCATTCACAGGTTGAATTCTGTCAGGTTTCATGATCCTCACCTTCCTACTGCTGCTCAATAAAAGGTATGCTTTCTTTTCACAACACTCCTTAGATTTTATGTTGCTTTTCAACTTTCTCACATACAACCTACAGGAAAACATAAGTAGGAGCCCTATCTCTCAGACATAATCTAAAAATATTAATGCAAAAGCAGAGATATACCCAGTCAAGAAAACAAGGACATTGATATATTAAAAACTACCATGTGCTCAAAAGTTAACAGAACAAATCAAATCACATTGTTCTTTATTATCTCATTTATGATACTCTTACATAACAACCGAGTCACAGTCTGAAAGGTCAAATGTAATTGCCATGTCTGCACACGTATCGCACAGTAGATAATGTACTATAAGTTTTGGGAAAATTATGTTAAGCTGTGTATTTACAAATGCCAAGTCCAAAGGATGCCACATTGCCATCTGTGTGTTTTTTGAATTCATGCCACCAGGGAACTGGACTTAATGCCTGAAGAAATGCTACTTTTCCACAGTTACATTAACAACTTCATACCAGCACAGCCAAATTTCAGAAATTTAAAAATGGTCCTCCAATGACCTCTGAAAGTATTCACATTTGCTGCTTTTCCAGTTTTTCATCTGATTGCAAGTATCTCTCTTCAAAACGTAAAGAGAGAGAACAAATGCTGTTTTCCTCCAGTCAGCCTGCTCTTGTAAAATAGCTGTTCTTATGCTTTGTCAGAAATTACCAATAAAACTACCATCGCATTTGAGGATGAGAGCAAATCCATCCTCCTTTTCCAGTTTCTGCAAGCCTCTAACAAAATCAAGTGGGGATAGTTATCTATCTCCTTGCTTCCCCATTACTACCAAATACCACCAAGAATTTAAGACTCTGGGTCCCGATATGCCCAAAACAACACACTCGGGCTCAGCATCAACAAAACACAGTAACTTCTGCAACAGGATATGTAGTTGCAACACAGAGCCACTGTTTGGGGCAATTTCCGTGTCACTGAGCTGTTGCCAGCCCCGCGGAGGCACCCCCTGCGCTCTCCACCAGCTGAGCTCGCACTTACTTTCCAAGCGAAGGCAGCAACCCCGCAGCGCC